ATTTTTTATGTGCTTGAGTGCATGCAAAGTGCTCCTCTCTCCTTGCTTGTACCCTCCATGTTTTACTTTTACACAAGTGTGATTATATTTTATCTAACTCTTGGTTAGCATATTGTGGGCATCTCTTCAGGATAGTAGGTGTAGATCCATCAATTTTTTCTGTATTGCATTCCCTTCTTAGGATACAATTTATTTGACTGAACGTCTAGTGATGACTATTTGAATATTTACGATGTTTGTAGTTTTCCCATTCCTATAAACAACAGTTTGATGAAAAATCCTTGTCCATGTATATTTTTAGGTATTTGATCCATCAATCTTCAAATCTTTGTCAAAGAGTTTCTTCCTTAATTCTTCTTCCTTAAGTTTTTATACTGATGTAATAATGTTTTGCAAAATTGTTTATGCATCTAAAATTTGTGCATGTTAGTGGAAGACATTTATCCTTGTTAAAATAGATCTTGATTCTTTAACAAGACCTATTTTTTTACATTAGGAAATAGAATAGGTGCTAATAAATCTTTAAAAGTTTCTGCTTATAATTTGGTATCACAAATTTCAATACATACTTTCAGTAAATAAAAAATTTCATTTATTAAATGTAATTTGTGATGGGAATAAAATTTGTCAGTAACTTTTTGTAGTTAGAGGAGTTCTTAGAATGCAAAGGTTTTGTCATCAAGTCATGTTTCCAGTTCCTTTTCCCTGCCTTGATGTGTCATGAAAAAGAGTACTCATTGAAAAGACATTTTTTAGTAGTTTAGCTATTTATTTTAGCTATGGAATATATTTTTTAAAGTCTTTTTTGGCTTTTTAAAGAAAGCCAAACCTACTCATATTAATTTGCTTTGTTAATGTACAGGTCCGTTGTCTGTAAACCTGAATTATCTAGAATACGAATCAGCAAACTTCTTAAAGGTTATGTAGTCTCTGTGGCTCATCTCTCTTGTAGTTCTGAAGTAATTGTAGACAGTATGTAAACAATAGGACATGACTATGTTCCAATAAAACTTTATTTACAAACACAGGCAGCCAGTAGTTTGCTAACTCCTGATTTATTTATTTATTTTAGAAACATAATTGATTATACATATTTGTGGGGTATAGAGTTGACTATCAGTATTTGTCTACAATATATGATGATCAAATCAGGATAATGCTAACCCCTGATTTAGAACATGACTGAGAACCATCAATAAAACTACAAATCTTTGCAGCAGCTAGAATAAAAGAATAGTGAATTAAAGACTAGTAGTGTTTTGGTTGTCTAGGACACTGTTCTTTTCAGTACCATATGTAACTATTTGCATTAGGTATACATTTAGGTTAAGTTATTAACTAAATTTCTTGAAATTTTCTTGAAGGTATTATTATATTAGTCCATTTTTTGTGTTGCTATAACAGAATAATTTATAAAGAAAAAGTGGATAATTTATAAAGAAAAAGGGTTTATTTTGGTTTGCAATTCTGGGCTGGCTGCATCTGGTGGGGGCCTCAGACTGCTTCCACTCATGGGAGAAAGTAGAGGAAACAGCACGTGCAAGAGATCTCATGGTGGAAAGCAGAAAAGGATTAAGTTGTG